AATTACTGGTGCATATTATCTCGAAGTTTTAAAGCGATTGATGGGCAGAATTCATCGTATTCGCCCCGAATATCGTGATCCAGAAAATTGGTCTTTGTTGCATGATAATGCACCGAGTCACACTTTATTGATTGTCCGTCAATGTTTGACTCGAAATCGTGTCTCTGTGTTAAACCATCCACCGTATTCACCTGATTTGGCCCCCTGCGACTTCTCATTATTCCCAAAATTGAAATTGAAATTGAAAGGACGCTTTTTTGATGATATTCCGACCATCCAATCAGCTTCTACACAGGCACTAGAGGCAATTCCGCAAACTGAGCTAGAACATGCATTTGAATCACTATTGAATCGCTGTAACAAGTGTATTGAAGCCAGAGGAGAATATTTTGAATAATAAAACCAAAAAATATGCATATTGTTGTTTCAATTATGATTTTCAGAACCCTGTCCGGGAACATATTTGTCGCACTGTGTATATGATGATAACATTAGTGATATGCAAAAAATTATTTTTTTTTAATAAACTAGTTTATTTTAAATGAATATAACCATTATGATATTGTAACAATATTAATACAAATGTATAGAACATTTTAATTTAAGAAAGTCTTTATATTTTTGCCTTAATATATTTAGAACATGTATCTACTACGTGACACATTTAAATTTTGATATATTTAACATATATCTCATATTTGAGCTTCTAATATATTATAGCTTAAAAAATAGTTATATTCAATATATTGAGTCATCTAAAAAGTATCCGCGGTTTTTTATCACTAGGTGTGTGTTGATGGTCATATATCTAGTGACAAAGTATCGCGGATATTTTTTAGATGATCCAATATATATTCAAACATATATATTCATACATTGTAAATTATTTGAAATACAAAATTTGAATACAAAATTTACTACTTATTTTTAGATGGAATACAACTCTGTAAGTAGACAGTTTAATTTATGCAACTGTTTGAGATCGGTAATTCGAAAGAAAAGCAAGAATTCTTTCAGTCGACCGACATTAATTGTCATTGAACGCATGCATAAATTGAGCTCGTGATTTCATCTCGAGCATGATCTTAATCCTCGTTAAAATCATCGAATTCGTCGTTCTTTGTTCTTTTTAAAAACAATTCGTTACACGCAAACAAGTTGTCGTTACCGGCAACGGACAATCGAAAGTTCTAGAACGATTCAATTCGCGCACGCGAGCGCCGCGCTCCGACGAATACGTCACGCGCTGTCACCAATCCCACGCACGGATTTTCTGTCGCGCATGACTGTTACGTTGAACGTCGCTAGAAAAGAATCCAAAGCGCCAATCAATTTTGTACACCTAATGCCACGTAATAATTACGATTGTGGCAAATTTTTATTGGATTTTTCCCAAAAAAGAAAGCTCAGGCCGAAAGCAATAAATGCTTCGATCTCGCCGTCCTCCTTCTTACTTCGAAAAAGTTCTTAGAGTTCTTAGAGTTATAATCTCGCTTCGTAAAATCGCCGTGCTAACCGCTTA